CGATAGAGTTTCGAGAGAAGAAGGTAAAAAGCAATACAAAACCAATAATGTACCGGTTATGTTGTCATTCCTTTGCTCTCTAACTGAATGCAATGTTATAATAGGCCTAGTTATTTATTAATAACTTTAACATCTAACTCTGGGGGGAAAAGCTTAGTATAATAAAATCACCTAAATACGTCTGTGAATGAATGAATGAAATATGTTAAGAATGAATAGTACACAAACACATTTCCAAAACTGTAAAAGGTTATTTAAAAATAAAGCATTCATTAATTATTTTATGACAAACATTTTACTGTCTTAAGTGCACTCATTTATTTAGCCTATAAATTAAAATAATAATAATAATAGCTATTATTATTATTATTATTTTAATTTATAGGCTAAATAAATGAGTGCACTTAAGACAGTAAAATGTTTGTCAAAATAATTCATGAATGCTTTATTTTTAAATAACCTTTTACAGTTTTGGATCTGTGTTTGTGTACTATTCATTCTTAACATATTTCATTCATTCATTCACAGACTTATTTAGGTGATTTTATTATACTAAGCTTTTCCCCCCAGAGTTAGATGTTAAAGTTATTATTTAAATAACTAGGCCTATTATAACATTGCATTCAGTTAGAGAGCAAAGGAATGACAACATAACCGGTACATTATTGGTTTTGTATTGCTTTTTACCTTCTTCTCTCGGAACTCTATCGTTTTTATTCAGGAAATTTTCTATTCTTCTTTTTAGCGTTTATTTTAGGCTATAAAACACAGGCGGCGGTGTTTTATCCTATTGGTGATTAATATAAAATAAACGCTAAAAAGAAGACTATTTTGTGAGTGCGGATCATGGTCTCATAGGCTACTATGAAAAATAATGTTTAATAAACACAATACTATGCATCCCGCACCGTGGTTGAATCTGCCGGTGGGGGCGGGGCCACAAATCCATGAGTTTGCATTTACAAACCCGAGGGAACGGATTGCGAAAGCGTGCGCACGGATTATGAATTTGTGGGTACGGATTCAAAATCCGAAGGTACGGTTTACAAAATCTGAGCGCACGGATTGGAAATTCGTGGGTACGGTTTATTAATCCGTGGGCACGATTTGTTAAACCGAGGGAACAGTTTAAGAATTAGTGAGTACGGTTTATAAACTGAGGGGACGGATTGCAAAACCGTCGCCACGGATTGTTTTTTTCTCTCCTACAGGTGACTTCCCGGGCTCCGTAGGATTCAGCTTGTTGGGTCATTTTAATGGGTTATTTTTTATTGTTGTTGTTGTTTTTTTGTTGTTGTTTTTTTTTACTGTCAATACAAATGATGAACCCCCTCACATACCTACCAAGCGCTGGGTCAGTGTAACCCAATATTGTGAAGTCTGTGTCAAACTGGTTAAAACTCGATACATTTGTCATTGTCAGCGGCCATTTTGTGTTCTGTCCTGCGAGAAAACTTGACTGACGGGAAACTTCCTGAATGAAATTAAAGTATGTATTGCATTGTATTCCAATCAAATTATTACTGTATAAATAGGAAAATGTGTGTAGTCTCACTTTTTTTTATGTACGTCCCAGCTAATGTCTGCTTGGAATGCTAGCCTTCTACAAACGCAGCATTCACCGGATCTACACTCAAAGCGAACGACGCACCGCCACCACCTCCCGCTGAACGAATGCGTGAACAGGGAAGGTTTTCTTCCCACAGATTCCCATTAGCTGCTCTTGCTACTACTGTCACGTCCAAAAACCTTTACTGAATGTTTTTTTGAGTATTTTATGTAAAAGACTGACTTGCCATTGAATAAACATTTTTGTATATGAACTGTTCTTGTCCTATACTATTGTCCTGTCCTATACCTACTGTA